TGGTCCAAGAAGTTCATACACAAAGTAGGTGCCGCGTCCGAGCCCTCCTCGCGCCAACCCTTCAATTCCGTGTCTAAGTGGTGTTAAGTGGTAAATTAATGACCTATCTTAAGTTTAGCTCGGTCAAAGTCCCCAAAAATACCAAGAAGTCTTAGAAAAATTGAAGGAAATACACATAAGGCCATGACTAAGTCAAAGATGGCCACTTGTTTTTACCACAATTTTTCTAAAGGCATTATTCACCTTCCACCTCCTTAGCCACGGCCCTATGAATTCAAAATCAGATGGAAATTAAGTCTTTTACCTTAAGAACACAGCAAACACTTAGAAGTTAGGAGAAAAACCGAAAAATAGCAACCGAGTTCGTGAACGTACGAAATTGTCACGAGAAGAAGCCCTAGCACCATCATCTTTGATCTTTTGCTTAGTGATTTGAAGAGGTAAGAACCCAAATATTAGCTTGTTTTATAGCTGAGTTATAGAGCTTTAATATGTGCTAGGATAAGCTGAAAGTTCAAGTTTTCAAGTGAGCATAAATTTATAATAAGTATAAGGGCTCTTCATTCATGTACATGAAGCATAGGTCCTGTTTGAGTTCGATTATGTGCATGCTATGATCAAACTAGTGACGTAAGTTGAACATATGTAATTCTTGTACTTTTGCTGAGTATTTTCATGAAAGAATCATGTTATTTGAATAAGTATAGCTCGAGTTACAAGTATTTGAAGTTTAATGTGCAAAGTGATTTTCGAGTACATTGTTTCAGCTGCCACTTAAAATGAGAATATCTCAGTCCATAGACATGATATTAACATGAAATGTTTATGACATGTTAACATATGAGTGAAGAGTATAACTGTTCAATTTCAGATCAAAATGATGAGAAATGAACAAGATAAAAATGTTAGACTACCAGCATGTCAAGTTGATTTTAGTTGCAATAGAACTCAGTCTACACTCATGCTTTTGATGTGAAACTTTTATCAATATTTCTTGTATGAGTGATTATCAAGATGACCAAGTTTCAGCTTGATATGATAAGTATAGGATTTTATAAAATTCATTGAAGTTATGTGTATAATTAGCATAATTATATGTTAAGTTTAGCACTTGAGTTGAATGAGCAAATGAAGTGCTATTGAGCTGAAATTTGAACAACAAGTACTTGAGTATGTTAACTATTTAACTACCATGTTTCAAAATTTTTAGAATTCTGTATGATTTTTCAAAAATCATGAAGTTTAAAGGCTCAGTTTCATTCGAATTAAGTGATTTATGTGCTAAGTTGGTACATAGTTGAAATTTACAAGTATATATGGTCCAAGTTAGACCGGTTCAGCCAGTCCGGTCCAATTAGCGAGTGAACCGGCCGGTTCGGCCGGCAGCTCGAGTCATTTTTGGGTTCGTATGTTCGGTCCGAGTCGTATTCCGAATTTTTAGTAATTTTTGAGCCAAAATCAGTTCAGTTCAAGTTATATCAGTTAAATTCGAACTTGTTATAATTTTATATCGAACCCTTAGAACGTTCCAATTAATTCGGATAAGTTAAGTATTAAAGTCGAGCATTTTAACATTTTATTGAGTATTTTGAGCATAGTACTTAGTATATTAAATGTTTATATTTTTATACAGTTTGACGAGACAGTTTTCAAGTTCAGCACTGCCATTTTCATTTTCAAAAGTGCAGGTGGGCCCACGCTGGGTATTACATTGACTATAATATCTGATATCATGTCCCAGGTATGTATATATATTAAGTTTATCCGCTTAGGGTGGTGGCCGCTAGTTGCCATGAGTTTTTCCCCTAAGTTCTGGTGGTGGCCGCTAGTTGCCTTAATATTCCACTAGAGTGTGCACATGGTTACCGGCCGAGTTTTCAGATTGTCTGGAGATTGAGTTATAGTACAGTTTCAGTTTTAGTTTATATATACTGACGATCATAATATGGTTATTATTATTGCTGTTTACTTTAGTATGGGTTTCTGCGGAGCATTTTGCACTTTCGTGCTCAGACCCCATTATTATGTTTTTTTCAGATGTTCGGGTCGAGCCGCAGGCGTGAGTTGAGTTGCTGTGGTGGTGGTCCTGGATACGGCTCAACCAGCCGTTTTGTGGACTTTTGTATAAATTTTTGCCACGCTTTACATTTCCGCTGACGTTAATTTCAGTATCAAACTTGCATGTCAGTTTTCAGATTTTATCGGATCTCTAGACAGGTCTGGTTGAGTTACATGCTAGTTTGATTAGAATATATATAATCTGTTTCTTTATGTCTAAACCAGTATTTAGACCAAATTAAAGAAAAACAGAATATCAGAGTAGATAAGTTTAGTAGCATCCCGAATTAAGTTAAATGATTTGAAAAATTTATATGTATTTTCGAAATAAAGTTGCGAAAAATTTACTCTGATACTAGTAAGTTAGCGGGGTGTTACATCGGGTATAACAATCAAGAGCACAATAGGAGTATAATCATCAATATGTTCATCACCGGTCAATTTAATGTCCCGAACAAGTTTAGTAAACACATCAAGATTCTCACCAATATCTTTCGAAAGATCAAGTTTAAACCGGAAAAATTTTTCAAGCAAGAACAATTTACTCGGCAAAGAAGTTTCAGTATATAGTTCTTCTAATCTTTAGCAGAATCAAGTTTACCAACTTTCTTAAGCACAGAGTCAGACAAATTCAAGATAATTGACGAATAAGCAAATTGATCCATTTCGGCAATTTTATCTTTAGGCACATCGGGTGAAAACGAGCCTTCAACGGCTTTAAACACTCTCTGTTGAATTAATATCCCTTTCATTTTTTGTTGCCAAAGTGAAAAATCAGATTTCCCGTCAAACGGGGCCAAATTAAAAGCCAGAAACGAAGCCATTTTCACAGAAAACACAGCAGTTTCTATTCTAAACAGCCACACAAATTTTCAGCAAAAAATCATATTTTTCAGCACCTAAATACACAATTTTCAGCACAATGCACAGCAGCAACTTGGCACAAAGTCACAGGAAAATCAATTTAACACCCAGCAGCATAAAATGAGGCACACAGACTCAAAAAATAGCAGAAACTCAGCACGAAACAAATTTACCGAAATTAAGCAATCAAAGCAGCAAAAAATACAGAATTTAATGCTCGAACTAGTGAGAATAGCCACAGGCTCAACACAACAAGGATAAGCACATTAACACATAACATGAATGTCTAACCTAGTGATCTAGCAGCTACTTTCCCAATAGGCAATCCCCGGCCAGGGGCTACAACTACGAAAGCGGTAAAAGTGAGTTCAAGCCAATTTACGAGAGCGAGCCCTAAGTGTTAGGTGCTCGACTTACCAGAGCGGTGACGGGACTGTTGTGTGGCCGTCCCGCTCGCACCACTCTCGTCATTGGCAGCGGAAGCTTCAGCTTGAACTCGACCGACCCGCTTGCAGCCCCGTTCGAGCTCACAGAGGTGCTGCTCCTCTACAGGTCACCCGGACAGCCCTCTTTCTGGCCCGGGCTGGTTCACGTGTTCCCTTAAAGGAGCCCGTTTCAGTCCCGATTCAACCACCGGGCTCCCGAACCTTCTGTTCTGTCCCGGGCTTATCCTAGTCGTCTCTTCCGGGCCCGTTTTCAGCCCGTTCCAGCTGAAACCAAACACACGATTATGTCTTAGTAGCAGCAATAATGAAAATGGGAAAAACACAAAGTAAAAGGCTCGGAAAGAGAAAAAAACGAAACGGGAATAAAAGAGAAGGAACGAAAGACTCCCTTTCGTTCGCCGGCGAAGAAATGGAAGACACGAAGTCACCCGGCTCAGATAGCCCTTCTTCCCGGAACCCTCGGTAAGTAGCAGCTCGGTGGTGGTCAACGAACAGCGACCCCGGTTCCTCGTCCCGCACCCTGGGCTGCACCTTACCCACACAAGCCCCGCACCCGGTCACCCGTCACCTATCCCCTCCTTCTCGCACAGCGGCTCGCCGGAAGCCCCACCAGGAGCTCTAACCGGCGGGTTGAGTAGGGCGACGGCGACGGCACAGAGGCGGCACAACGGTGGCTCACACGACTGCTCTCACGGCAACACTCACCTCTCACACACTCCAAAGGTCACGAAGAACAAAAGGAGAGGACAAAAAATCACTCGGGGTTTTTCACTCACAGAGAGAGAAAGGGCGCAGCGAACAGATAGAGAAGAGAAGAGAGTGTTATGTCGTGGTAGGCGGAGAAATAGAGATAGGGTATTTAGGGAACAAAGGGATGGTTAGGATTCAATCCCTCAATCCAACGGCTCTAATTAAACCAGGTAAGGGCCAGGCCCAAGTCGGGAGTGGGCCGAGATGTCCACGGGCCTGAGATAGGTAATTGGTTGGACCAAATTTCCAACATATCGAAAGTGGGATCTTACACCTAAGAGCATCTGCACTGCAACACCGTTGAGTTAAAAATATATGTGCCACGTACATATTTTAGACACCCACTTCATTTTTTTCTCTACAATGGTCACTTTCTTGGTCAATATTTTTATGATGTGGCATGACCACTTTCTCACCCATTGTGTAGAGGTAGAAGTCCTTATAACAGCGTGACTCAGCAATATCATGCCAAAATTTGAGAAAATCGTGGGAAAAAAATTGTGGGGGACAAATAGTAATTGCTAGCTTAATACTCAGTATTATTATTAAATAATAGTAGTAAAAATAAATTATATATCTCTATTTCACCTATTTGATTAAATTTTTGTAAAACTTTCTAGATTATTTTACTAACTATTAATATTATAGAATACTTGATAATTAGTTTAACATTCTCGACCGGTGTAGTGTATTTATGTTGAATAACAAGTTCTAAATTTTAAGGATATATTGTTATCATTATCCGACTTCTAAAAACCCATTTAGAAAGATTAGAAATCAGTTTAACAACAGTGGTGCATTGGACGAAGTAATTGGCTGTTGCTATTTCTACCGGTGATATTTAGAGGATTAAATATCCAATTATGTTCAAACAACATGAACATTTAACCCAATGATAACATCCCTACCGAGATGCTCTAAAAGGCAATTTTGCCGATATTGGAGCCGTCGTGGTCTCGTCGGTGAAGATATTCTTCGGCTGAAGAGTAAATTAAGCAAGGAATCAGCATTTTCTGTGAACTTCCAATGGGAGACTCGAATAACCCAACATTCATTCGTCATTATCACACACGACACGCATTTCATCTTATTCAATCATACTTCTTAATCTACGTTTTTGCTTTCCACCCGGATTTCCGTATTGTGAAGCAGAAATAAGAGAACATGTAGGTTTTCCTGTTTTTATTCCACTTTTCCATTTTTTTTTTTTATTTTGTGTG